ATAGTTTTTCAGGATTTTAAATTTAAGTAGTAATATATTTACAAATAATATATATATATATATATATATATATATATATATATATATATATATATATATATATATAACACCGCTGGAGACGGGTTTAAATTCCTGGAAAGGCAATACCCCAGATATCTGTTAAATAGCAGTATAGAATGTGTTCTTTGGCCTTCGGTGGGAACCAGTCAAAAAGAAGGAAAACACTGAATTACAAGACTCCAAGCGGAAAACAACGTGAATCCATTCTCTTATCTCTCCCAAGAAATTATATTCCAGTTCGATTCTGATACGGACACTTACGCGTTATTTCCATTGTGTTTATATTCTACCAGTTGCAAGGGAGTCTCAGAATTTGTAGTTTGGGTGACAACTAGTCTACTTATATGTACCGTGTCCCTTCTGGAGGTTGACAATCATGGCTCTCCTCAATTTCCTATGTAGCTGGTTTTTTGTTATATCTCCTAAATATTTTCAAAATTCATTATCTTAAACTATGTCAGTTATTCGTTTCTTTCTTTGGTAGCAGTCTGTCTTGTAGTTATTACATTTCCTAAGCCCCACTTTTATCAGTATGTACCCTAGAAACTTAAACTGCTTCTTCCTGAAAGTATGTGCCCTTTTTGTTAACCATTTTCTTTAAAGCTTCACCGTTGCTCACATGTTCATTCCATGGAATTCTCAGCGTACTTCTGTAAAACCACATTTCCGGCCTTTCAAGTTTCTTCATAAACTGTGAGGAGATTACCCAGCATACACTGGCATATAGGGGTATCAATGTTACATAACAGTTAAGTCGACATTTCTTTGTTTCAAATGGTAAACTGTATATAAATCCATCCCGAATAGGGGTTGTTTCCATTAAGCTATCTGGCTCAGATTATATTCCTATTATTGTAGTTGTATCTGTAGTGCCCCAACGATTCTAATGGGTTACGGGAGACGTAAGGTATGAAGGAACCAATACATTTTTTTTATTACATATAAATATGTACTCGACTCTCCCGTCGAATACGACTTACGAGGGTCAAGCAGATCAGTTTACAGGAAACCGACACCCCGACAACAGCACATGAGATTTAATTATAGTGGTGAAGGTTTCGTGCAGGACCAGCTACACTATTGAAGATCCGAAATGAACGTACCAATATCTATATATATATATATATATATATATATATATATATATATATATATATGTGTGTGTGTGTGTGTGTGTGTGTGTGTGTGCAAGGTGTCCCCCCCAAATATATATACACTTTAACAGTTGATAGCTTAATTGATGTTATTTTCTTTCTAGGTGAAACCGACTAGAATTAATGATGGCTGACAAACTAATCCTTCAACAAAGGACATTCATTCTAGAATTCTACTGGAAATGTGAAAACGCAATTGAAGCGCAAAGAAAGTTTAAGAGGTGGTTTCAAACAGATTCTACTTTCAGTAGAGAAATCAATTACACTACCCGCATATCTGCAAAAACAAATGGTAATATTATGGTAATGGTAATATTAAGGGAATGGTAATATTAGCCGTTTCCTTAGAAGGAGTCATTCACATTTCATTGATATAACAGCCAGTGATATTTTCGGCTGAAAATTATAAAATCTTTTTCTTAAAACAATTTTTCAGAAAAGTAGGATTCTCAAGTCCAATAAATGTTATTAATCATTTCCAATATTCATCAGGAGTTTCTTCTTAAAGTTTACTTTGATTGGAATGTTAACGTCTTTATTAAGTCATTACTTTCTCATGGATTTACATGTGCTACCCATTTTACTTGTTGCTGTAGTGTGGAAACATCAAATGACGTGGTCGCTCTTATCTGGAATAGATTTATTTATATTATTTACATTGTTCGGACTTTTGTCCACATCTTTATTGTCATATTCACGACCTTTCGCTCGCTGTACACTCCGCTCTTCTTCAGGTGATTGGAATTTCGAGCGGATCATTTTTATTTTGTCCTTTTTTTCTAGTTCCATGTGCCATGCCTTTTCCGGAGGTATTGAAATCTCAGCTCATTGGGTCAATAATTGCATCCAACCAACGCTTTTATCCACTGACCCATGTGTCGTTGAGTGTTCAGTTCGAAATTCTAATCAACTTAAGAAGACCGGAGCATACAACGGCCGAATCGTCGGGAATATAATAATAAAGGTGAAGGCAACAGTCCAAGCAATATAAATAATGTAAAAAATTGCAATACCGTATCACAGAAATATAAACAGATATGGAATAGATTTGTTTGTTACTGTAGTGCTAGTTCACCGGTTTCAAAGAATCATAGTTTACGTTAAAATCCACACCTTTAAATTGAACGGTATTTCATTGAATATTTGAACTTTAAGACAAAATTTTGTTTGAATGGAAACCTTAATTATATTTTCACTATAATACAACTTTCATTTCAACTAAAAAAAAAAGCAAAGAAAAAACAAAAAAAAAAAAACGTTAAGTTTTCATTTCCCAATATGAATTT